TGTCGCCATTTTATCCTATAAGAAATGTCTCCATTTCTTGTTCGGTTTCACCTGTGGGACTCGTTTCTGTGAATGAGGAAACACAATACACTGTCACTGAGGATGCTAAAGCAGACTAATTTCAGTGATTTTCTTACGGAATTAAAATTTTATGGTTTTTAAATCTGGATAAGGCAGAATTCTACCATGATGAAAGTAAGTGGGTAATCCAGGATTTCAGAAATGCTTGTTTGCAGTGAGGAACAAGATCATTAAGATAATTATAACATCATCCATCTATCTAATTTCTAAGCTCTTCACTGAATTCAGGGTTGCCTGGGAAATGCACAAACCTATCCCAGCAAGCAACGGGCACGAGTTAGCCTGGGTGCGATACCAGTCCATCACAAACACAAACACAGACACACATACACTCACACCAGGGCCATTTTCCCAGAAACCAATTAACCTACCAGTACGGTTTGGACTGTGGGAGGAAACCGGAGCACCTGGTGGAAAACCCAGGGCCCCAGTACAATGAGGCAGCAATTGTAACCACTGCACCACTGTGCTGCCCTCTTTAACATCATGCGAATTGTATTGTGTCCTTATACTGTAGTTTAAAGTAGTAAAACGCAAGGTCAGTTTTCCTCTCTTTATACAAACTCAGTGAGGAGTTCAAAGGTTGTGTATTTCTTTTTGCTTCTTTCCTACTCAGTTATTAAACTTCTCTTAATCTTATGGAATGTGTAACATCAAACCCACATGGAGTGTCCCTTTGAACTGCTATGACCCTGTTTTCTTCTTTATTAAGATGCACTCCGTCCCACTTTTATACAGTAAATGTGCTCATTCTGTTTTCTAAAAGCTAAGTAATACAAATAAATAGAAATGAAATAATACATTTTTTCACAAAATATAATGTTCTGAAGAAAGTTACAAGCACCCAGTGTCTTTTCCAAAATCCAAAAATCTTTTTACCCAGTTATTGTTCTTAATTCATGACATTTATTTTAGTTGAGAACCCGTATTCTTCAGCTTTACTGCTTATTTTTATTTTAATATAAAGTCTATTCGTTTAATGTAGTGGAAAATATCCCATTGTCCACGTACAGCAATAAAATGTATTACCTCAGAGGTTTTGTGCAAAGCAATTATACTTACTGTAGCACATGAATTGATTCTGTAGTCTTCTAATATTGGAGGGAAATGTTAGATAAACCCATCATGTTTCATATTTTTTTTAAACAATTTGATTCTAAATTAAAAAAAATAGCTGCAGGTCTTTCCTCAATTAAGTGGCTTCTGTTTAGTCCTGAAATCCAGACAATTTTTAAAAAAATAGTGATATTTGTAGAATACTGTAGCAGAGATGCATGCTTCTGAAATTTGAATGTCAAAATCAATGTCAATATAAATTTATATAACATTGAACTTCTGTGTTCTGGACTCTTTCAAAGCAGCAGGTATGCTATCATGCATACATTTGAATTGAACCAAGTGGTACAGATGCTGGTGGTTGTTTTGACTAGTGTTTGTTATGGTTGATGGCTACCCTTCAACTGCTTACTGTATAACTTTATCACTACATATAACTATTACCTTTCTTATATTTTTATTACTTCCTATTTTTCAGTTGTCAGATACTTTTATATAAGATCTAGAGGAATAGTAGATGATAATGTACTGTACATGAAAACTGAGTACCACTATTGATATTATTTTTTGGCATTAACTCTAAAACATTGACATTATTCACCAAAGGAAGTATACAGTAGTTCTCTTTCTCATACGTTATATATTTTTTAAGTTAGATTTTTTCAGCTTACCCCCTTAAATCTGGAATCTCCAGTTCTTTAACAGTTCATCTCAACATTTCAGCCCTCATGCTGTATGAACACTGGCTTGGGCACCTACTGTACTTTATTTTCACAGTGCATGGCTACCAGAACCAGCAGCAGCACTACGGTACCAGTGTAGTTCTTAGGTGAAAAGACCCTGGCAGTGTTCAGCCAATTGCATTCCATCTAAGAAGGAATCATGGTCATGGTCAGCCAATGATATAACCCAGAACTAAACTAACAGTACTGCTGTGACTAGCTTGGGAACCCAAATGAGGCCTTTCCCTTACAGAGCATTGCAACTATAATTAAAAAAAACAGGGAGGAAAACTTGATTAAGTACTGCTTTACAGCATGGATACAGTAGTGTGACAAATTATTGCCATAAAGGTCAACCACACTGAAGAAAACTATTCTTCTCTAAAGCAAAGCTTCAGAGAAAATGTGTTAAAAGCTTTTGCTGTCCTTGTCTTGTAACAATTTACTCCAAGATATGTACACAGAAATATGATTAGACAGCATTTTGTTCATGATCTTCACCTTGCCCTTCTCTACCGTGTGTTAACATCTAGAAATAAACCAGGAAACGTCAAATACTAACAAACCTCGGATGTTTGTTTCAAACGTTCTTTAACTTTTATAGACTGAAATTTGTGCTGTGATGCAAGGTATTGCTATATTAGGTCAAGATAATGTATCATTACAGGAAACAAAGAGCTTAATATAGAAAATGATGTCAGGTTTTTTAACATCTTTGCAGAAAAAGTGCAACTAGTGATATTATTCCAGATTTACCTGCATTACTCGGTCCATTAGCAACCTACTTCCAATAACTGTGTAAGGAAAAGATATTCTGATCCTGCATTCTGTAAACCAAATAAATTGAAATATACTATCTTCTTTTTTTCTTTGTAACAATTAAATTAAACATTGTAAAATTTGTCAATGGTTCTTCAAATCTGACTTTATATCCTGCATAGAATGTATGAATTGTTACCTGACAATAAGTCTTCATCAGTATTTGAAAATTGTCAAAAAATCAGTTCACTACCTACTGAACACTGATTAAGGAGATCAAGCAGAAACAGGGTTAACCAATAGTTTGCTAATGTTTCAGTCATGGCCTCCTAATAATCCCCATCTATGAATTGGCTTCATAACTCTGCTCTCCGCCCCACTGATAGCTGATGTGTGGTGAGCAATCTGGTGCACTATGGTTGCCGTCGCATCATCCAGGTGGATGCTGCACATTGATGGTGGTGGAGGGGAGTCCCCATTACCTGTAAAGCACTTTGAGTGGAGTGTCCAGAAAAGGGCTATATAAGTGTAAGTTATTATTATTATTATAATAATATTGAATAAGAAAAGATTTATTGCATAACAGATATAACAAGTATCAGATGGCCCATATAAAAGAGGTGTTCTATTGTTTAAACTGACAATACTACTGATAATGTTTCTACATAATTTGCCTGTGTTTTCTATTAAAAGTCTGTGTTTCTTAATTTTTAAAATGTAAGAAGAGAGACAGGTCCCCTTTCTACCTTTCCTGTAGTTGGTTTCCAAAAGTGTTAGAACCCTCCTGCTGGTTCAAGGTGATGAATGAATGAGAACAATACTCACTTCACCAAATATCTAAGGCATTTCTTGCCTTCCCTGTGGAGGCAGTCATTTGTCAGCTCTTTATTTGTCCAAGCAATTTTAATGCAAAGACTGTCTCAGCAAAGGTGTCATAATAATGCTCAAGGCCTTCCTACTGATGGTTATGACCCGAAACATTACAGTCTTTTTTCCTGTTATTTTCTGGCTGGGTTTTCAGATGACTATCTTCCAAATATTTAGAGCATGTCTAGACTTTTTGTGATACTTCTTATATTACAGGGCAGATTTAAGTCAAGAGAACTGAAATAATATTATTTGTCGTTACATTTCATGCTGAATGAACAAAAAAGAATGGAGCTGCATGTAATAATTTCAGTGGTATAAAGCAAGATGTAGCAGTACTATATCCCTTGAAGGGAGGTAAAAAGGGTACTCTATACTGTAACTGCTACCTTAAATCATTGTTCCCGCAGACCAGAGAGTTTTCTTTTTTTAAGTTTTTTAGAGCAAATTTAAACAGTTTTAATTTTTCAAAAAATAAAGTGAGTACAGAATGAAAAAACATTGTGTTTTATAGTTCAAATCACCCCTGTCCATGAACTTTTTATAAAAGGAGAAATTATTTAATGAAAGGGATATATTTAATACTGTTGGGCTCTAAATGTTTAGGAGATAATTGAACCTTGATACTCTGTCATCAGGTTTGAAGTGGATTGAAAAGATCTTAAATACTTTAAACTGAACTAGTTGATAGACATTGGAGACAATCATTCAATTGAACAGCATAAGCCAGAAAACCAAACCACCAAATGACTCTCAAAGAATTGGGCTTGATACTGTTGTTGAAATATTTGTGAAAGTGTGAGCTTGTTATAATTAATCAAAAGTTTGTTTTTTTGCAGTTCATAATAGAACTATATATACAGACTATACTATATTAACACATACTGTATACTGGATGTTTAAACTTCCAAGGAGAGGTAGCCTAAGGTAGATGTCACATCAAAATTCTTTTAATTCTGTACTTGGATTCAGAAAAAAAATCAAATATCCTTTCCATTTCCTTTTAAGGGAATGTCATTTTTATTTTTGATGAATATATAGTATTGCACTCTAAGTTATCTTTTTTCCAACTAGCTAACTTTATGTGAAAATGTACTTTGGCTTAATCTTTAAAACATTAAGCAGCTTTCAAATTGTTTTGCAGTTTACAGTACATAGACTAGATATATTAACAGTACCCATTCATTGCAGCTCTCAATACAAAATCTTTCTTTTGCCATCTTAAATGACAGAAGGAGACCGAAGATACAATCAATACATGTGTTGTAGGTGCTTCAGACTTTAATGGTGCATATTGTGAAGATTTACATTGTAGAATAAAAGTCTGTTTTATTTATTCTTAGTCGAATGGAAAAAAATGTAGAAAATGAAAATCATCCAGTTGTACTGCCAAAGGGTTTTGATAGAGTTTTTTTATATGGTGTAAAGAAGTCCTGTAGAATATACTCTAGCTACTGTGTCTGGTTGACGTGTATGTAAATGATTGATTGATCTTGTCTCTCTTCTTTACTGCAGGTATCACAGCAGGAGTGCTTGTCGTACATTCATTTGATGAGCTACACAAAAGAGCTAGAGAAGCTAAAGGGAAGATAGTTGTGTTCAACCAACCATTTGTCAGCTATGGTGAGACAGTCACATACAGAGCGCTTGGTGCTTCTGAAGCAGCGAAAGTTGGAGCTGTGGCATCACTCATAAGGTCCATCACTCCCTTTTCCATTAACAGGTAAAACAGACGCAAATGTTACAGTATTTGTAGATTCATGTGATACTTTATAACAAACAAGTTATGATATTTATACCAAGTTACCATTTATCTTTGGTAAATGCCAAGAATATTTCAGCAAAACCTTGAAATCTAAGGGTAATTATTGTCTTTGATCCAAATACAGTATGTTCAGCACTGTATTATAGTGCATTAAATTAGTTTTAGCATGATTTCATAGTTGTATGTACTAAAACTAATACTGTACATAATAAGAGGCAGAAGTGTGTCCTGTGCTGAAAGTACTGAAGATGAATAAATCCCCAGGGCCCAATGTTACCTTACAAATTGAATTCAAGGAAACAAGTGACTTTTTCAACAGTCACTCAAGATAGGGGTAATACCCAGAGACTGGACAATTGCTAATGTAGTGACCACCCATAATTAGTTTGAGAAAACCCACCCATTAAATTATAGAACAATAAGTTGATTGCATCTGCTTGTAATAATTATTAGATCTAAATTAGAGGGATAACCTTTTATGAAAAGATAGTTCTAGAGAATAGTCAGCTTGGAATTTGAAAATGTAGTTCTTGCCAACTTGTTACAGTATTTTGAACAAGTGACAACGATAATGGATAAACACCGTGCATGTAATGTGTCTTTAGGTTTTTAGAAGGCTTTTGGTAGTGTTCATTATAAAAGATAAAAGATTAAGTCTCAATTTACAAGTTGTAGGCACTCAAGGAAATGTGAGTTTGGATTGAGAATTGGTTATTTAGAAAACCCTAGAGTACAGATAGCCAATGAATTGAGTCCACTGCTCTTTCTAATTGATGTCAATGATCAAAATTCTGGTATAGTAATAAACTGGTATAGTAGGAATACACTGGTCTGTAGATGATACCATATTAGGAGGATTCTTTCTTTGGAGAGATGTCACACAGTGAGTTAGTGTTTGAGAAGTAATGTAATTTGTTTAGAATCTCAATTACACATTTACAGTATCATAATTTCTGAGATCTGAGTTACTTAAAAATACAATTCAAAATTCCCTGCTCTGGATTTCCTAGTTTCAAGGATGTAAAATCATTGGATGTACATTACACACTAATGAAGTCATACTTCATCAGTATTTAATATTACTGACTCTAACAATAGAGCTTTTGAGTGGGCTAAAGTGTCACATTTTCTGTCAGTAAAATATTAATCAGACTCTCAAATTGGATTTTTTACTTATTGGGAGGCAGTAGTTAATTCCATTTCAAACAGCTGTAACCCTGTCTTTTGGAAAGAGGAAAATCTACTGTGATGAAAAAATGCCATGAGACTGCTGTCATTCTTTAACCTGCTTCATGCTGAATTCCCCCAGCATAGCTAGAAGATGTGTTGTCACTTGTTGAGAAGCTGGTCTCTTTATCTCCTGCACAGCTGCATCACTGTCACCACAGAAAGCTGTTATGGACAGGTGCAACTTAGCAGTGCAATTTATGGTAGATTTCATGTGTTATTTCTTGCATTACTAAAAGATTCTACGCCTTATATAATTTGTTTGTACTTGTGAACTGTCTCTGTCGAGCAAACATCCTACTGTAAGTAATATGTTTCCAGATTGAGTTTTCAGGCTCCCCCTTAAGCTATCAGTAAATTTATTATTGTTATTATTAATTAAAGACGCTGGATGCATGGAATAAGAATTGAACATGAGATTTTGAGAGACATTCTTGTGATAAAAGAAGGTGAATTTATTCAAATTAGATCATGAACAGTGTTGTATTCTTCATTTTCTGAAGGCATAAGTTGGGTAGATCTGCCAAGGTCTTCTCTTAAAGTTCTCTTTAAGAACAAGGTCACTGACATAGTGATTTATTATTTGGTGTAGATAATTAGTTGAATATAAAGTCAAACTTTGAACTGAGTATGATCTTCTTTTTTCAGAGAAACTGAAAAAAGAGGGGAACTATCTGTACTAGTTTAAAGTACCACGTGTACAGTGGAACATATTTCTGTGGAAATTTCCATGATAAAATCTATTACCCCTGCTATTGTTCTTCAGCTTGACAGCTGATACCAAAATAAGAAGATTAGAAAATACTGTGGACGTGTCTGTAGATGACATTTCTAAAAGTTTGAGAAAAAATAAAAAAAAACAGAATAAAAACCTGGCAGATGACCAGGGCAGGGTGTTACATGCTTGACTTGCTTGCTGACAAATTTGTTTTCTAGATAGTATAGGCAAATTAATAAAAAAAAGCAAGCAGCCTGTTAAGATACTTGGTTAAGTGTAGAATTGTAATCAAAACACACAGTTAAAACTTCATTTAAAATATTGTGTAATGTGTTAAGGGGGTATAAAATTATAGAGTAAGGTGTTATTGGATCAAATAAGAATCAGGCCATGACACCACCTTGCTATCCAAGTAAATTACAAAGATTAATGAGAATTTACCTCCTGAAGTAAGGGGATACTGAGTATTGCATAGCACTTGATTTTCTTATTCTCTAGCACTACTTGATAGCAGAGTAATGAACAGGCAGCAAGGCAGGACAAACTATTATTTATTTCAATAAATAAATATAGATAAATACACAGCACATAATGGTTATATTACTATTATTATACAGATGTTTATAATTCTGCAGGTTCCAGAGTATTTATATAAAGTATATCTATTATATTACGAGAAACCTTTCATCCTTTAAAAAAAGGATGCTCCCTAGGACTAAATCTCCTTCTTTCCTTCTCTAAATGCTCACAAATAAAAGTGGAAGACATTTTAGCCCAAGTATTCCACAATATAGAAAATCAGAAGACTCTTTTTATGGAGAGTACAGCTTTCTTCTACTGTTTGGATTACCTGGAGTGAATCTGATTTTAAATCTGATGGGAAAAAGGGAAATTGTCTCACATTTCAATCTCACTAGGAATCACTAGAAGTGGACCTATCAATGTCACTGTTCTAATATGGCTGACTTAAAGATTTAACAGTGAGTTTGTTTAGCCTGAGTCAACTATTAGTGTTTTGATCATCTGTATCTTCTGCCATGTTTACTTCCCTTCAAGGTTCAAGCACAGCTCTGTGTACTGTATACACCAAGGCAATACCCACTGTTTTGAACCTACAGAACTGGGTATTCCTGCTGGGAAGCTCACACCCTCCTGCTGTAATATACAATTTTTTGGTCACTGTTACAAAAATGAATTGCTGCTCTGGAATCTTTCCAAAGAAGAGGAACCTGATACATTCCTGAGCTTAAAGAAATATCTTATAGTGACAGACCAAAAAAACTAAAACCTTTTAGTCTATGCACAGAGAAGACTATGTACTGTAGGAATCTGATTCAAATACTCAAAGGCATTGAAAAAGTAAACTCAAGATCAACATCGAAATGCAAACCAGTGAATAGCAGTGAAACTAGGATGAAAAGCTTTTAAAACTTTTAATTTGAAACAGGATGCACTTTTATTTTTTACAGAGGGGTGGTGGGAGTCTCAAGCAAGCTACCTAGACATTCTCAAAGATCATACCCTGGCTGCCTTTAAGAGGCCGCTGGATGAGATACTCAGATCAATAAGATACAGAACTTGCAACTAAACATGTTAGATGGGCCAAATCGCCTACTCTCATTTGTAATGTTGATTTACCAGGTTTGATGATTATCAACTGCTAAGGATGAATCTTGACAGTGCATTTCAAAGTGATTATGTTTAATACAAATTCATTTGTCAATGTTGCCGTTTCCTGCACTTTATGCATTTTCAATATAGGCTTTGCTCTAATGGTTTAAAATCATAAAGATCAATGCTGAATTAGTTCTTGGAAATGTCATGAAGTAAATAAGGCATGACAAAGCTTGTTTTTTATTTAGCTTCAAGCATCTCAGAATCAGCAGAAGCTATTACTATTATAGATTTCCATACATCAGTTGAGATTAAATATGTTGTAAACTGAGCTGTAAAGACATTTACTATAGAGGACCAAAGTCTACGAAAAAAGATTGTAAGATAAACCAACGGACTTTAAAGAACATTATGAGCAGCTGACCAAATCTATAGAAATCTAGGGAGTTCCAGATGTTGGTACAATCAGCACCACTGTCTGAGTCCATGAAATTCAAGTGTAGTCTTTACAACTGCTTTATAGGATGAAGTCATATTCAGTAAACTTAGTGACACTATCATTTATAAATAACTGTGTACTAAGAAATAATAGCCTGTTTGTTCAAGAAAATATTATGAAATTACGAATATGAAATTAAGCTTTAATTGCTTAATTTCAAGCATAATTGCTTTGCTCCTTTGCAGTTCACTGTTAAGCTTGAAATAGCTATTGGGAGGCCTCGAGCCAGTAATTGAAAATATTTACATGGAATAATCCTTAGCAATGAAGCATAGGTCATAGCAGAGCAAATTGAGTTTAAAGCAGTTTTCACAATCATGGGAATAGAATGTATAAAGAATGTATACATTTCTTTTAATGTGCCATTTTGTCTTGTGTGCCCCGATTTCATCTCCAAAGAGTTGTGATGGTGCTTGAGGGTTGGAAAATTTCTTTTCTTTTAAATATGACTACTTAAAGACGGCTGAGTTTTGTTCTGCAGCATATTCATTTTGTTTTGAATCACCTATGAACAACCAAAAGAGCTACAGTAAACCAATTGGCTTCCTCTCAAGTGTACATTTTTCTATGTCCATTCCATAGTGATTTACAGAAAGATTTAACACCTAAGGGAATTAGAATTTGCCTAATATAAGAAAGCAAAGGCTACACAGAAGTAGATATTATAGGCATATTTAGCTGTTTTGTAAAATGTAGTGGTAAAACTTTAATTAGTGCTTGATTACTAAAAGGCTTGGTACTTTCTGATTTTTTTTTAACTACTCACCAGAGGGATAAGCCAATCAATTTGCTAATTGATTTTATAAAAGAACAGATACAAGTAGAAGAAAAGCAACAGTGTCCAGGAAAGTAATACATAAGAAACTGATACCGAAAGTGATGCCTGCCAAACCCTCAAACCCAGACATATAAAATAAATAATATTACTTTCTTTTTCATTGTTCATCTTTTGCAAAGTTGAGTTTTTTGGGATACACTTTTGTCTGAATTATGAATAGACATGTGTCTGAATACAATAGTCAGGAGCTGCATAATGGCTTTCAGTGCCACTGGGAGATGCTATTAGAACTGCTGGCCTGGCATCATATCAGCCTTTGCCAGTGTGTCAAATGAGCGATGTATAGTAGTTAAATAGCAGATATTCACAGCAGAAGTGACAGAGTCCATATGATGTCTTGTAGTAGTGATACTGCTCAGTACGCAGTTCTCATGGATGTACAGATTATTGTATTTTTCAATGTATATTTGCATGGGTAATAAAAAAAATGTGTCTCAGAAAAAGCTTGAAACAATGGGTAATGCCTAGCTAGTGCCAACATTTCCAGCTTTAAAGCAAAGGAGCTGTTTGCTGAGATGCAAGGGGTCCAGATTCAGTAATCAAAGCAAAGTTTAAGTTCTGGGTAAATGAGTTCAGATCAAGACAGAACAGAGCTAAAAGGGAAAGAACAGACCACAAGAGAGAGGAAACAGGTTGCAGGCTAGAAGTATTTGTTCCAGATCATCCAAAAAGACATGACTGGAGCTGAGTATTTGAACCCTTCTAAGACAGTTGCACTATTCTGTAGTTTTTAGGGAACTTGGATTTCCTTGGTGAAACATCCCTCAGTTAAAAACAGCCTCTCCTGCCTAATGAGTACATTTTAGAATAGTGAGACAAGTTTCCATTTATTTCTAACTATACCAACTCCTCAGGTACAGTATATATTTGGGAAAATTCTTACAGGTTGGTGGTTATGATTTATTTTACTTATGGATTTATCTGCTTGGTCATTTCCTTATTTTCTTTATTTCTATAACCCCTCCCATTGGTAACAATATGATATTAGAGAAACATTTTTGGGGTGCTGGTGGCAGTTCGACCTTTAGAAATCTGCTAGTTGATCATGTTTTTGTTTCTTTTTTTCTTTTTTTTTGCATACAAAATCAAACAGAGTTAGACAAGGAACACATTACAATGAAAATGATAGTCAGACAACCTTTTGTGTTCTCATTTTAGCATTTCAAGCATTTTGTAATAATTTGTAATTCATTGTTCAATGTATAGATCATATGACTTACCTGCTTCTTACCTATAGGATCAGCCATTAAAAAGTTGAGAATGTTTAAAACTCTGGATAATAAGTTGCTTCATCACAAATGAAAAATCTTTCTCCTTGACTAAATGCATGAGTGCACATGATGTGTCACCCAGAATAGCGGAAACAGATAAGGCCATAGAGTGGTTAGAGGAAAAGCTGCATTATAGTGGCTTTCAAACTAAGTACATCAAACCACAGATGAACTTTAGAATGTAAACTAGTGGCTTTGCTGACGCAAAATGGAAATGCAGTCTCTTCCTTGTAAATAAGGTGATCTCTAGTGAAAACAAGTAATAATAAGTAGCAAAGGCTATCAAACTTCATGAGTAATGGACAACCTGATTCTCAGATCACTTTTAAAAAGGATAAAAATGTGCTTATGAAGTGTACTTGATATAAAGCAAGGTTTAAAAGGATACTTGTCAATATTGAAAATAATAGGTCATATTGCAATATGTACAATATAAATTTCTGACTGGATTTTGGAATCCAAAATAGTATTATTCTCATTCACAATGTGATTGTGTGTTTCTGGTTTAATTCAGTGTGAGCTATTTATCTTTTCATGGCAGGAAAACAACACTTATTGAAAAGCTGTTGTCCACTCCTGGACTCTTTGTCCATAGGAATTTGTAATTTGACATACAGTAGATATGTAATCATAGATATGTAATAATTGTGGCACCTCTCTTAATAAATGCTTAAAAACTGATGGTTTAAATAACATTGAAAATTTTGGATTGTGATTAGTCTATTTAGTTTTTTTTTAAATTACATTACAAAATTAACCTCTTTTGTTAACAGGAAAAAAGACTAAACAAAACCACATTTAGAATAAAATTTGTTGGAATCCAATCTTTTTTACAATTTTGTATTAACACTGCAGGCCTAAAGTATCTTCTTTATTGTTTAAACTGTATTCAGAAAGTTGCATGCAATAGTTATAATTAAAATGATATTCCACAGTTATGTCTTTTTGAAAACCATAAAAGTTTTAAAAGAGTCCTGAAGGAATGTTACCCAGTGATACTCAGAGATACAGGAAAAACTACTGGATTTTTGTGAAAGCAGAGAAATAACATTTCTCATTCACAAACAGAATTAATGTTATATCAGGATAGCAGTTTACTAAAACTATAATCTCAACTGTATACAGAGTTTAAAAAATGTTATTTTAGCCACAGGAATCCAAGACTGATTTTCAGTTTATAACAATTCAAGCTCAAAAGATGTGCTGTAAATTAAAGACCATTTTAACTATATAGTCTCGCTCGGAACAATAATGATGCTTTATATAAAATTTTATGTTTGTGTAGTCTCACTGCAGACAAACGTAAAAGAATGGGGCTTTTGTTAACAGACAGTTTTCAGTAAAAATGTATTTGAGATGAAAGGCTCAGTTGCTCAATGATAAATGGTTTAATCAGAATTATACATAAACCAATAAAAGGTAAAATTATAAACTTTAGGGGTTATGTGATAGAGAAAAGGTCTTCTTATATGGATTTTTATATTATTTGGTTCAAAGCCAGTTAGAACTGATTTAAAGTCAAAGTAGAAACCCTCAAAGTAGAATACCTCAGCGTAATTTGTGTTATTGCTTTATCTTTTGCTGTTGCTGCTCTTATTGTTCTTATTGTTTTAATCTGAAAAATCACCTGGTGAACAATTCATAGTCTTTATTATATGCCACTGTGATGCTTCATACTAGTGTGCTGATGTACTAACAGTATTGTAAAGCACATTGGGTGAGGTGTGTTTAATTTCTCTTTGCATATTTGCAATAAAATGATACTTGAATGTTTGAGTTCACTAATTTCTGACTTCATTCTTTCCTTAAATGTTTTGGCATGCTTGTTCTATTGTGGTTAGAAATGTTGCAGCCACAAATACACTTATAAAGAACACTCTCAAGAGTTACTGTGGCTTTTTAAAAGCATGCAGTCGTTCTGAATTGTAGGTATTAATATTATTTTTTTCTTTCCATATCATAACACCTTGGAAACAGGATTAGTTTACAATGTTTAATTCTGGCTTTTGTATAGGCTGCATTAATAGTATATAGTTAATCTTACCAAACATGGATAGCAGTTCTGTACTTGTCAGAGCTATTCAACATGACAAAGTAATGTGCTCCTAATAATAATAATAATTCCTTACACTTGTATAGTGCTTTTCTGAACACTTCACTCAAAGAACTGTAATGGGTAATCAGGTAATGTGCAGCCCCCACCTGGATGATGCAACAGCAGCCAGAGCTAGAGCAGTTATTCAGTAATATTACAGAGCTTTTGTCTGCATTGTTTTCAGGCATATGTGGGAGGGACTAATATGTCATTTGCAGTAAATATTGATTTAGGTAATTTATTTTCAGACTCAAAATACAACAAAAATAGTAAATAGCAAATAAGCTTGAACTCCTTGACCTCCCCCTCATCCTCATTCTTTGAAGATCTATTGTCAATATATACAGTAGCGAAGATTAAGTTTAGGCACATGTTACTGGACATTTAAATTGTCTTGTTTCATACTGTGACAAAAGCAAATTGCACAAGATGATTAACATTTTCACATTAAATTGGTCTTTCTTGTGAAAATTGATACTGATTTTCTGGTTGACCTTCAGACTCTTCAAACTCTACGTATGCTGTAAAAACAATCCGCCCTGTTCTGCCGGTGTTTATTTTGGTCACAGATTACACATTTTCCAAACGGGCATAAGCATCATGACAGTCCTGTGAAAATAACCATGTTTGACAACACAATGCATCCATCCATCCAGTTTTTGAACTGCTTCTTCCAAACCAGATTGTGGGAGAGCCGGAGTCTATCCCAGCAGGCAATGAGTGCAAGACAGGGTACACCTGTTCATCACACACAGACACAAACACTTGTTTCTGTTTTTTTCCAGAAACCAATTAACCTATAAGTATATTTTTGGACTCTAGGAGGAAATTGGAGTAGCTGAAAGAAACTCACGTGAATCTGGGCTGAACAAACTCCATGCAGATAGCCCCTGAGGTCTGAAACTTAAACCCAGAACCCCAGTGCTGCGAGGCAGTATTGCTAACCACTCCACCGAGCCAGCCCCTCACAGTTCATTTTAATGTACTTGAATGGTATGTTATATTTATGTACATTATGAAATGAAATCTAGCTGGTGGCTTTGTTCTGTAGTCCGCACACAGGGTGGCAAGATTACCAGCCCAATGTGCCTAAGATCCCCACGGCCTGCATCACAATTGAAGACGCTGAGATGATGGCACGAATGGCCCATCGTGGGAAGAAAATAGTGATCCATCTCAAGATGGCTGCCAAGACCTTCCCAGATGCTGACTCATTCAACACAGTGGCGGAGATTATTGGAAGCAAATACCCGGAACAGGTAGGCATTTTTTTTGAGGATTTTTGTAAACTCTTCAATATTGATAAGAATATATAGTATTTATAATAACATAATAAATGTTATAAGTGAAAGACCATACAGCTCAGGCAACTCATCTGGTAGTTAGTGATTAATCTATGAGATTTAAGGGTGGATGAAATATATTATTCTTATTGAAATAAGTCAGACTGTTGGCTTCAACAACATGGCTACATACAGTAGCTTATTCTGTACTCTCATAGCCCTTTGGGTAAAGAGTTCCTCCAGTTCTTGGTTTAATTTGCATTGATACATTGATTGGTGCCCTCTAGCTTATCTTACACTTTACTAAAGAAGTCCATTAGATTGGCTATGTGAGTGTCTTTGAGGATATTGAATACTTACATCAGGTCCCCTTCTAGTCTGCTGTGTTCAAGACTAAAATGTTTCAGTTCCTTCAGCCTGCTAGTGTAAGACATTCACTTTAGCCCCAGAATGCATCTGGTTGCTCCTGCCTGGACTGATTCAAGAGCCACAGTATCTTTTCTATGACATGGTGACCAAAACTGCACACAATGTTGTAAATAAGATATTGCTAAAATTGTAGTAATTCTTTATTTAGAATATATGCTTTGAGCTACATATCCTATAATTATGTTGGTCTTTTTAATTGCTTCCTCACATTAATTAACCTCTCTTTTTATGTAACTTCAAAAGATCCACTTTGCTGCTGTATTCTGTTTTTAAAGTGTGGAGAGTCATAGTGTTGGTATACAAGTACTTTATATATTGAGATACTTTCTCTCAATCTTATATGGAGAATCTTCCTTCCTGAAGCTTCATAGCGTATTGTCTACGACACTGTTTTCTGTAGATTGTGTGCATTACTACACTTTTTCAGATTCAAACTCAATATTAATGATTCCTTTATCTATAGCTTGTAACAAGCAATCTTTGTAAACCCGATATTATGTTTTGAGGAAATGAAAAGGTGTGAAGTAAATATTTTTAATCTTTATATACAGACATTTAATTACCCTTTATATGCTTCTCAACAGATGAATTGTCTCTTCAGTCAGCAGCTGTGAGACATGTTTTCTTCAGTTTAATGTTGTGACTTATTTTCACAATATTTTTTTTGTTCAAGTACAGAATTAGATCTGTGAATCGCATTTCACTTTGTCTGATATAATATAAATTATTCATATATGTCTGATTTATTCCTTCATTTATGTGGTGTAAAGTACCATATTGTAATCATTATAAGATCAGTCTCTTGAATGTATAGTGAAACAATTAAATGAAAAAAAAAAAATCTATATTGATATCCTTGTGTAAATGTCCAAGAAAAAAAAGAAGGAATAACTATGTCCTAGCCTAGAGAATTCCTTCCCTTAAACTTGACAATAGAATAGCTGCAGTAATTCACCAGACACGCTCATTAAAATACCGTAAAATCGAAACATTTGTAAAGACACTGTCTGAGTGACTGGTTCAACTTTGGAACAAAAACTATCCTATGAAATTCTCTGAAATAGATTTAAGTTTTCCTCTTTTTACTTTCCCCACTTCATTTCATTACTTTTATCTGTTTGAAAATGCCATTTTAAATGTTTTTTGCAAATATGCAAATAGAGCCACTGTGCAAATGGCTCGTACAACTTATCTTTTCAAGATGTACAGAAGTTGGGTTATTTTAAGTCACTTCAGAACTTGTCTTTTCCAGATGTAAAGTGGAGAAAATATAAAAGTAATATTAACTCGGACTGCCCAGGTGACATTTAAACAGACACAGACAGACACATTAATGTTTTTTTAAAGTTAAATGGGTTATGTGATTATATAAGAAAAACAGATGTATGATGCCTAACACTCTAATGCCCAGATACTGTAAAATCAGAACTTTGAATCACCTGCCAAAAACAGTTACAGACCCGGTATATGATGATGGCCTTTCATTGGTTAGAAGAAGAAGCCTCTGGCCTCTGGTTTGTAAACTACAGCTGGCAGATGGATTGAAGTTTCGGTATAAATGGGTCTATGTAATGGTATTTAAATTTTGGGGAAGTGAGGGGATAGCCTTAAGACCTTTAAATCCCAATGTGAGGAATTATATTCCAAACAGCTGCACCAGGCATCTCCAGTTAATTGCCTGTGTTCATACAGAAATATGAAGAGGCCAACTTTATAATTACTTGACATATGTATATATCTCAGGAGATTATTCAAAGCCTGTGCTAAACCCCTCGAGGAGCAATTATAGAGCTGAGTTTTGGTCTACTATACTTCATACTGAACCTTTAGATCAGAGTTCAGAGAAGACCAATGACACTCATGTCAGGGCTAGAAGGACTTCACTGAGTTGAGATGTTGAAATATAAAAGTGTATCAAGCCATGCAAGAACAGCAGTTTTGCAAGATCTAATTAGTCACCCGTTAGAGATTTTTGATGTTCACTGTAAACTTAATGTGAAAGTAAAATACCACATACTCAACCCAAGCAGTTCACGTATAAAAACTTCGACATAGAGGATTAATTGGAAAAATTCAGTTGTTACATTATATAGTATAAAGGGGTGGGCAATATATCTGAAATGATGAGGTACATGATGTACTGTATATCTCAGTGTTGTCCCATTTTGGTCAAGGTTTACTTATTTTTATTCTTGGAGTATCGTCTTAACTGGGTGTGTGGTGTAGAACATGAACAAAAAGTGCAGTGTTCTATTATAAACAATCTAAGGAGTGGGCAGTATATCTCAAAATAATAAAAGGGAAATGTAGCTTAAAATAAAATAAAATAAAAAACTACAGTTCTCTTTCAGTATTCCACCAAGTGTGGGACAGACATTGACATTGGCATACATTTTATTAAAAAGAGGGACCACCAAACATTTGAAATGGAGGGCCAAACATGCACTTAAACAAAACCATTCTATATGTATCCCATGAAAAATATGGGAAACTTATTTGCTCTTATTTATTTTAACATTCGTATTTTCGCAGACGTTATTTTATAAAGGCTGTTCTCATGGTTGGGACACAGTGCAAGTGCAATAGAAGAAGGATATATGAAGCAGATGACAGTGCTCTGAAAAAATATTTTTTGAGCCAGCAGATCATAGGCGGTACAATTCAAAGCCCACTATTTTAGCATCATAGTAAATATACAAAGGTTCAACATTTTTAAAGTCTGGATAAGCACTCATAATTAAAATGTAATCATTGTGACAAATAACCCAACACAACTTTTGTTATTGCAATCATAACCACTAAGCATGTAAACAGGATACCCGGTTTAGACTTCAAAGCCTTTCTGGAGTGTACGAGATACAGAACAATATGAAAAAATGCTAAAGAAAAGGGTCTGGAATTGGGACAATTCTTTTTAATGATGTGGCCATGCCAATCCAGTGCAGTAGTGCTCTGAATAAATGAATTTGCCAGATTCTTAGGATTGAGCAATAAAGTATGAAGTGAAATACAGAAATGAAATATTCTGATTGATGGCAACTATGTATTTACAAAGTCTTAGAATGGTACATCATACACATGATTACAAGTTTTAAGTAAGGTGTGTGTCCCGTACTGTGGACCTTAAATTGCCACAGTAGACTTCTGGCTTTTCTTCCCTATCCCAAATATATTTTGCAACAACTATGTCTGAAACTGTCTAGTTTTAATAGTATTTTGCAGTTAAATAAGGGTATTCAATGAATATCATTTTATAACATAATGGGTTAAGTAAAGTGGAAATCATTACAGAGGACTTAAATGCGTCATGTCAGTTACTGTACTCCCCTGTGAATTGAAGTTCAGAGTGAGCACAAAATAGGATTACAAAATTCAATTTCGAGGAGAGTGTGACCTCTATAAAGTACATGCCATTTGAGTATCAAATGGCTTCGCAGTCTTTGGAATGTGAAGAAGAAGAGCCATAATAGTGTGTAATGCCATGCAATTCTTTCCATCCCAGGTGTTTCACAAAGTGCAGCTGTGATCAGACAATATTTAGCTTGTCTTTATTTGTTCAAGTTAATATTTTCTGTAGATGTGTCAGTTTTATATAAATTCAACTTTCTCTGCTTGCCTTGTCTGCATCTTCATAATAGTTCATAATATTTATTAATACAAATGTTTTGATTGCAGTTGGAAGCTTTCATATGTAACACTAACTTAGTGTAATTCATGTTCCGGTTTTATTACTTAGTTTTATTTATTTTAATTTTGCAGACTAAAACAAAATGCTAAAAAGTTTGGTAAAAATGAGTTGGTAACACTTCATTATGATACTCACCAGTCATGTCATCTGTGTGCCTGAAGATATTTAGGTACAGTATTTTAAAAAGACATACAAACATCCTCCTTCAAGTCAGTACCATGCAGAAAAATAAATTGTATTTAATTTCCCCTAGAGGAAATGGAATATTCCTTTTGTCTTCTGAGATTCTCTTCATTGCTGATTTAGTATATGTACAGCATATGAAACAGTATTTTGCTTTTTATTAATCTCAGAATATTAGTAGTTGAGGCGGTTATGTTCTTGAGGTCAAGAGATGGTTACAAAACCATTTCTAAATATTCCATCTATTCACTGTCAAACAGCATACAAATAAAAAATATTCAAGACCATGGTGATTGGAATCGAGGCTGGTCGTCCTGCCAAAATCCTCTCAAGAGCAGAGGGAAAATCATGTAGGAAGTCACAAATGAACCCCAGGGTAACTTCTAAGGATCTGCAGGCCTGTTTTTATGCAGCTAATGTCAGTGTTCATACCTCAGCCATCAGGAAAGGATTGAATGGGAATGGTTGTTATTGGAGGATAGTTGGGATGAACCATTACTCTCTTAAAAGACTCTTAAAAGTTTATTCCTTGCAGAAAAGATAGTATATTACTGCGTATATACTTCTCTCACTTTGTATCATTCTCACTGTGTACAGATGCAGCCATTTACAATGCAAGGTACAACCCCGTACCGCGCACAGTTACCCACAGGTGTATCACGGTACGTGATTTGGC